ACTTTAGAAGAAAGAGCTAAGGCAAAGGGATATCTTAGCACTTGTCAAACATTTGAGGTTGCTTTCATGTTGCACCTAATGAGAGATATTTTGGGGATCACAAATGAGCTTAATACATCCTTACAAAAAAAGGAGCAAGATCTTGCAAATGCTATTCTACTTGTTGAAGTGGCAAAGAGACGGTTGTAAAAGCTAAGAGAAGAAGAATGGGATTCACTTATTGATAAGGTATCTGCATTTTGTGTCAAGTATAATATTTTGATACCAAACTTTGATGACCTCTATGTTAACTCTGGAAGATCTCGACGTAAAGTTGCTGATTATACTATTTTACATCACTATCGTGTTGATATATTTTTTAAGATTATTGATTGGCAAGTTCAAGAATTCAATGCTCGTTTTAATGAGGTGACAACGAATTTGCTTGTTGGAGTAGCTTGCTTAAATCCAGTTGACTCATTTTCCAGTTTTGACATAAATAAGATATTGAGGATGGCTAAATTATATCCTGATGATTTTGATGAGAATATAACGGTTACACTCAAGAATCAGCTTGAAACTTATATTGTTGATGTTCGTGATGTTGATGAAAGGTTCTCAAATCTACAAGGACTTGTTGATCTTTCTGAAACACTAGTTAAGACAAAGAAGCATTTGAATTATCCATTTGTGTTTCGCCTTGTGAAATTTGCTTTGCTTCTACCTGTTGCCACTGCTACCGTTGAAAGAACTTTTTCGGCGATGAAGTTGATCAAGAGTGAATTGCGAAACCGAATGAATGACGAATTCATGAGCGGTTGTTTGGTACCTTATGTAGAAAGAAAAATATTTAACACCATTTCTGATGAGACTATTATGAATACGTTTCAGGAAATGAAAACTCGTAGAGGACAGTTGTAATAATATATTTTATTAATATATTTTTTTATTGACCTCTTTATATATTTGCTTCTTCGTATTTTGAACCCGCTTGATAAAAATTCTGGGTCCGCCACTGACGCGCGCCTCTATCTCTTGTGATTTCAGGCAACTCCATGAGATGTTCTCCTATCCAAAAGTTTTGGATATTTGGAATAAAAGAGGAAAGAAACTTGAAGCTAATGACCTCGTCCACGATGACTTGGCCCAGAATATGCTCTCTCTATCACTAAATGCTCTACCATTGATGAAGAGAAAGAATATTGTAATTCCTTAAGGTTTCTTGACCCTTCCACCTGCATGGATTTTGAAAGCCACACAAAAACGAGGATCATTGCCAAGGCTTTTAGAGCAGCTAAAAAAGAGTTGAAACACTTCATTTTACGTGTTATCTATTAATTTCTTGTGCGGTTTTGGGGTTTAAGACGAGCACTTGCAAGACAGCGGTGACATGCAAATCCAAAATTGCTATAGTAAAATAGAACAGAAGTAATTCTAATTGTTCTGGTTGTTTGCATTTCAGAAAGAAATAGTTCGTCACTATATAAAGGTGACAAAGTAGCAAGGGGTTGGTTACGTAGAAGTGCAAGAAAGGTATGTCTCTTTGACTTTGGTTATCGTAGTACATTGACTTATGCCAAGGCGGAGAAAACCTTTTTTCATAAGTTTGAATTCTTGGTTTGAAAACGATAAACCATGCTAGGATTTGAATGCGGGCATGTCAAACAATGGGACATTAAATAATACGGCAAGGGCCAAATATATTTTTCTACTTTTGAAAATGGTCTAAAAATATTCTTCGATATATTATTGGGCTATATATACCCTTCCCGTCATACTTTGGAACAAATATACTCTTATTTGGATGGAGTGCCACGTGTCAACACCAGATGAAAATGACCCATTTCTTTTTTTTATCCGATCCGTTTTAAAAAACTCACCACCCGACCCGTTTTAAAATTCAATTTTTTTAAAGCATATATTTTGTAAAAACTGAGTTTTTTTTTGTAAAAATTGAAAAAAAAAAAGTTGCAAAATATATATTTTTATGTCTTTTCAGTTTTTTTAAAGTATGTTTTTTGTAAAAACTGGAAAATAAAATAAGTATTTTTTTGTAAAAACTGGAAAAAAAAAAGATTTTGCAAAATATTTTTATTTTTTTAAAACTAATGCATATGTAGTCCACTGCTTTAGGAGAGTTTTTTTTTCAGTTTTTAAAAAAAATATTTTTTTTTCAGTTTATACAAAAAGAATACTTTAAAAAAAATAAAAAGACTTAAAAATATATATTTTGCAAATTTCTTTTTTTTCAATTTTTACAGAATATATATTTTTCAGTTTTTAAAGTATTTTTTAAAAAAATATTTTTTTTCAGTTTTTACAAAAAAAAATACTTTAAAAAAACTGAAAAGACTTAAAAATATATATTTTGCAAATTTCTTTTTTTTTTTTGTTTTTACAAAAAAAAAAATCAGTTTTTACAAAATATATGCTTTAAAAAAATTAAATTTTAAAACGGGTCGGGTGGTGGATTTTTTAAAATGGATTGGGTAAAAAAAAAAAAGAAATGGGTCGTTTTCATCTGGTGCTGACACGTGTCACTCCATCCAAAATAAGGGTATATTTGTTCCAAAGTATGACGGGAAGGGTATATATAGCCCAATAGTATAACGAGGGATATTTTTAGACCATTTTCGAAAGTACAGAGGTATATTTGGCCATTCGTCGTAAATAATATTCCTCCACGAATCTTAAGAGGATGATATAATGGGGTGCACTAAGTCAAAATATTAATTAATTTTTGTGTCCAATTTTTCGGATGTTAATTTTAATATTTAAAAACTAAAAAGAAGATTACAGATCACAATATTTATAATGTAAAAGTAGGGTATACAATGGAATAAGGTAAAAAATATATTTTATATCCATTCTTGAAAGGATTTGCGGTTAGCTCAGCTACAAGATATAGCTTTTTCAAGTGGGTCTTTCACATTGGCTTTTTAAGACCAAAGAATGATCAATAACCTATAAAGACTTTCATGACCTAATCCCAGGAACACATTGGTTGAGCCGTGCTTCCTTTCTTCCTATCCTATCTACTTTTCAAATGCAAAACTCATATTTTCTAGCGCCACACACAAATTGGTTGTCTCACTTTCTTTTGTAGCATGGATTCCTATTGAAAAAGGTCCTTGTCACGACATTCTTGCCTTTTACAAAGTCCAATTCTCAATAAGCTGTACACTTTTTTTCACCAGCCACTACAGAAGCCGGTGATCTCAAGTCAGATATGTGAACTTTGACGACGTGTTGAGACAAAATTTAAAATTCAACCAATATGATTAACAAATCCATGGAAGCGAGATATGCAAGCATTTTACAAATATATGTTGGGCCGCTGTGCAGTGTGTTCAAATCAAAGTTTTCGAACACCAATTGTGCGATTTCAACTTTTAACTGGGTCCAACAGTCCTACATATATTGCACGCTGTTTGAAAAATGCCATTGCGAAACGTAAAATATTAGCATGCGCAAGACTGATTTGGAGCAAATCATCTCGGCTTTAGTTTTGGGCAAGGTGGAGATTGAAACATTACATGTTGTCCATCTAGTACAATTAATAACTTCAATGGCCCTTAAAATAAGTACTTGTTCGGCAAATTGAAGGTGCTTTGTTCCACTCAACGAAAAAGGAAAAAAAATAAACGTTTCATACTTAATAGTACGGTGTACAAACATAATCGAAAAATCGCACCAAATCAAAAAATCAAACCAAATCGATTAAAAAACCCGATTAAGTTTGGTTTGATTTGGTTTGGTATTGAGTAAAAAAACTCGAACCAAACCGACATATAAATATATAAATTTTATATATACTTTTAAGATTTCTCGTGGAATTTTCTTTAAAAAATATTTTAAAATATTTGTGATTCTCTTATAGGATGTAATATTTAGTTAAATATGAAGTGCTCTATTTTTATTAACTTTAAATAATGATTTTGTATGATTACTTTCTTATCAAGTGTTTGAAATGCGTCAATCTCTTTGTTCTTCCATATCCATATGTCAAGGTCTATTAAATTATTATATCCAAATTTGAAGTGGTATTTCGATAATTTAAAATTAAATAGAACACATCATTATATAGGCATCATATTAATTTTTATGTTTAATTATTAAATTCAGTTAACCTTAAAAATGTACATCAACAAAAATTTATTGTAATTAAGAAAATTCTCCCATAAGTATGTTAATAGATCTAGGGATGGCAATGGAGCGGTACGGGTGCAGGGCGAGGCAGGTTTAGACGCATGCGGGGCGGTGCGGGTTTAAACATATGCGGGTGCGGGGCGGGTCAGAATAAAAAATTTAAATCTATGTGGGTGTGGTGCGGGTGCGGATTTAAAAACTTCATCAAAGAAGGAAACTCAAATTTCTGACTCTCTGACAATGAAATTGATTCCACATAATATATTGAAGCAAAATAAAGTAAAATGCAGTGCATATAATTCTTCCATTTTTCGAAAGCAATTTTACAAATAATAACTCAAAATTACAAATACAAGTATCCATCTTTTCTATGTGCTTGGTGCCAAATATTATCAAATTTCTTAACAACGATTCTTCGGAAAATTCATCTGCTGCCCATATTTTGCTTTATTTTGCATTTTAGAAGTAAGAAACATGATTAATCTTAATGACTGTTGTTAGTAATTTTTGCCAATATCAGTTCTTCTGATCGATGATTCGGACATGTTCAGAGGAGAAGCCTAGATGCTCTGGTACGGAGGTGTGAGCAGCTGGTTGTGGAGGGCACGAGAAGAGGTAGAGGGCGGCCTAAGAAGTATTGGGGAGAGGTGATCAGGCAGGATATGGCGAGACTCCAGATTTCCTAAGACATGACACTAGATAGGAAGATGTGGAGGTCGAGTATTAGGGTTGTAGGTTATGAGGTAGTTGAGTCGTGCCTTACTTCGTACCATTGTGGGACTAGTCATGTAGGGTTTTTGTCTGAGATAGCTACTGGTAATATTGTGGCTTACTATTTCACTTTTCAATGCATGTCCTATTTACTAGCTATCGCTTTTTCTTTGCATCTTTCTTCTAGATTTCATGGTGTACCTATTGTTGTTATGATTGTTGTGGTTATACTAATATTTACTAATATTGTCTCCCTTTGCTTTGCATCCTTCTTCTGGATTTCATGGTGTTTCTATTTATCCTATGATTGTTGTTGTGATACTAATATTCTCTTTTTTGCCCTTTTGTCCTTTTTTTTTTGAGCCGAGGGTCTTTCGGAAACAGCCTCTCTACTCCTTCGGGGTAGGGGTAAGGTCTGCGTACACACTACCCTCCCCAAACCCCATTAGTGGAATTTTACTGGGTTGTTGTTGATCGATAAATATAGGAATAAAATGAATCTTGCCATTAATTATTTTATGATCCACATGGCATAAATCTAAATGTTCATTGAATATTACTTGAGGCGATATTACTTGACTGGATCTTTTTCCTAAAATTAACATATATATTTTTATCAAATATAAAAAATTAAAAAACAAAGAGGTATTATGATATCAAAAACTTTTTTAAGTTACTTTTATTGCATATGTGCATGATTTAATTCTCGTAAGTATCTTATCTTCTTCTTTCCACAACTAAAGTACTCCGTAATCGTTAGAATTAATAAAAAGCACGAGTAAATATAGTAAAAGTGTAGAAAAAATTCTAGCCAAAAGATTAAAAAAAAAAAATTTAAAACTAACAAAATGAAAAAAAAAACATTTATGCGGAGCGGGGCGGGTGGACGCGGGTGTGGATGCGAGACGGGTAAACGCGGATTCAACTGCTATGCGGGACGGGGCGGGTTAAATTTTTGCAGGTTAATAGAAAACCCGCCCTGCACCGCTTGCCATCCCTAAATAGATCATATGTTTGTCAATTTTCACTAAACATATATTTACTTATAAAAAATTTAACAAAGTAAGATTGAATAATATATATTCATGTAAAAAAAAACCCGAAAAATCCGACAAAATCGAACCAATCCAAACCGATATAGTTGATTTGGCTTGGTTTGGTTTTGATAAATACCGAACCAACCCAATCCATGTACACCCCTGCTTAAATAGTAGTACTTAATATATCAGGAAAGTGCCGAAAATTCTCTCGTTCTTCCCTTTCCTGGATGATTTTCCAACTAATCTTGAAGTTTATCGTTCATTTATTATACCTTTCAAAGATCCAATTTGCATTTCAAGTTTTGTGATTGTAACAAATGGTTTACCCCTAAAGCTCAGCAAACCTACAGAAACCAGCCTGTGCAAAAGTAGTGTCGCACAAAGGAACCATTCCCAGTTGATGATGAACTTGATTTTTTATTGTTTAGCAAGAACGCATCATTCTTCCAGATATTAGTTCACAATGCTAAAATTTAAAGAGAACAGTTTTTCACCTCATCAACCCACTTTATTGCTTACGGTCTTCAGTAGCAGTTACAGTGTGTGAATAGAGGGTTTAAACTCCCCTAAAAACAAAATCTCAGATCCTTCACCATCCGTCAGGTGCACGTATGTGCATCCAACACTGAAAGCAACCACCTAACAGAAAAGAGACAGCAGTCAGACTACAAAATTATTATTCACAATCAAAGAGAAATAGAGTCATATGTAACTTCAAGCAAAGAGGAAAGACAAATGTATACCTACAAGAATTGGGATGTATACCTATAAGAATTGGAAGCAACATAGTCAAAACACAGGTACCTACCATGATCTCCAGCTCTGTCAGCTTAACCTGGGGAGTCTTTCAGACCCAATATACCCCCACTCTGTATGATTAGGATTTCAACTCTCTGTTTAGAAGCATAAAAAAGGAATTGGTGAAAGATGTAAGTACTTGAAGTAATATATGAAAATGAAATGAAGACACAGAATTTGGCAAATGAGATGTGGATTACAAATAACCGTCTCTATCAGATCTTGCATTACAATGACCGCAGAAGTTTACAAAATCCTCGACAAAAAAGGAAATACTTCAGAGCTTCAGAAATCTTAAAGAGGTCATGACAGATCTAGGTCCTTTCGAGGCATATGAGGAGGGGAAGAAGAGAAATCAAGAAAAAGGACAACAACAACCCAATAAAATCCCACAAGTGGAGTCCGGGGAGGGTAGAGTGTACGCAGGCCTTACCCCTATCCCAAGGGGGTAGAGAGGCTGTTTCTGATAGACCCTCAGCTCAAGGAGACAAAAAAGACAATATATCAGTACCGAAACCATAGAAATAATAACAGCATCATAAGTACCAGAAAACAGATGAAAAGCAATAACAATAACACGTAAGTAAGACTCGGTACTATGAAAAGTGGAAGAATAGTGTGGAAAATCAAGAAAAAGGAGAACATACATATTCAATAAGTGAATTGCCAGGGAAGTCAAAAGCAAGATTGCTAATATAGAGTGTTCACATTTTCATTAAAAGCTCATGAATAAACTAGTCATGCTTCAGGAAATTCAAAAGCAAGATTGCTAGTGTAGAATGAATAAGTGCTCACCTGCATGACCGAAGTCACTATCTTGGAAGACAGGACATCAAAGATAACGGGGCTCTTCTAACTTCATGTGAAACCAATAAATAATCGCATGATCCTCTGTTAGACCAGGTGTGACTTCTTATACCAGAGGTCCTTTGCAACTATATCCAATTTACAAGCGGAGCACGTGAGAAAACAGAATGCGGACTTGTAGATGTAGAGCACCTGAGACTTTTACTTGGCAAAGAAGGCATGCCACGCATCACTCCATCACAGAGGCTATACAAAAGCTGCCCCCATAGTTCTCACAGAATGCGGACTTGTAGATGTAGAGCACCTGAGACTTTTACTTGGCAAAGAAGGCATGCCACGCATCACTCCATCACAGAGGCTATACAAAAGCTGCCCCCATAGTTCTCACAGAATGCGGACTTGTAGATGTAGAGCACCTGAGACTTTTACTTGGCAAAGAAGGCATGCCACGCATCACTCCATCACAGAGGCTATACAAAAGCTGCCACCATAGCTCTCACTAACCGATGCCTACAAATTGAGATAAAAACTTTATCAGGCTAGCTCACGAATTCACTGTTATAACAGAATATAAACTTGAATTTACTAGTGAAATAGAATGCGATGCATCTAAACCGATGGTTTCAAAAACTTTATCAGGCTAGCTCCCGAATTCACTGTTAAAACTGATTCTAAACGCTATAATGATGGATACACCTATCTCAACAAGAAAAACAAAATGGAACTACTTATGGTACCTGAAAATGAGGAAGCATGTTGTTGTACACTTCTACGAAAATCTTTGACCTTGCAGTCAACCTGATGTCACAATTTCAATAACGTTAGACCGGCCCTTCATTCATAATAAAAATAAAAAATGTATTAGCCCTGTTGCACTTTCCAACCATGTTTACTTGTGCTGCCACTTGCAGTAAAGTAGGTAAATATTATCAAAACAATGTACAAAAATTCCAAAATGTCCAAACCAGTGGCGGAATTAGGTGGAGGGGAGGGGTTTCTCAACAGAATCCTCATTGTTGAAAATTTATACTGTGTAAATAAGGTAAAAACGATTTTTTTTGGTTATATATAAGCAATAATGGGGCACCCAAGGGTGTGGCCTAGTGGTCAATGAAGTGGGTTAGAACCATGAGGTCTAAGGTTCAATTCCCAGCGGAGACAAAAAACACTAGGTGATTTCTTCCCATCTATCCAAGCCTTGGTGGATAGAGTTACCTGGTACATGTTGCTAGTGGGAGGTAGCAGGTATCCCGTGGAATTAGTCGAGGTGTGCGCAAGCTGACCCGGACACCACGGTTATCAAAAAATAATAAGCAACAAAAGGGATCCAAAAGTTGCTTTAGGTCTCAAATTCAAAAATCAACAGTCACATTGTATTTTTTGAATCCCTTATATATAAATTTCTACCTCCACTACCATTGATCCAAACAACAAAGATCATCTTATGAGGCGTATGAAGGCCTATGTCATCATTGTGCTAGAAGATGTATTTACCAAAAGCACCTGAAAAAGGACAAAGAAGAAAGAAGTAGAAAAGACTCAAGAGTCCCTTCAGTTATTATCTAAGAACTTCGTCACCAGCTGTTGTGGGGAATGTCGCCAAGTGAAAGGTTAACGACAGGAGAAGCCTACATGAATCTTCGAAGACCTAGTACTCTATCCTTAGTTTCTCTTGGACAGTACAGCCCTTCCTCCCATATTTATACTTAACCTTTCCAAAAATAACAGCAATATATTTCTTTTTTATTATAAAAGGGCAAGACCACAAGTCTGCCATTCTGTGTCCTTCAAATTTTTACTTGAAAAGCTACATTAAGTGGCTGTCTAACTTTCTCATCATCTTGGATTCTGCATGTTTTACAATAACATCAAGAAAGAAAATTTAAGATGACGCTGAGGAAGAGAAATACAAAAGCAAGTGCCTATAAAAGAAATGTGCTGAAGAAAATGAACATATATACTGCAGATAACTTGGATGTATGCATCGGTAGTCTCTAGTATATACCTTCTTAAAAGGCAAGAACAAATGTAAACCTCTTCAATATCTGTTGAAATTTTTAATTTTAAATACTGCTTGATAAGCTCGCATAAGCAACTAACAGCCTCAGCCCATCCATCAGTGCCCACATCCGGGAGAATATAAATCTGAGACATAGTCCTCTGCAATACAGAAGATAACTGTTTTTTTGCCCCTGCTCTTTGATACATCTCTGCCAAAATCCACAAAATCTGACAGTTGCTGGCTTTGAATATGTCAATCCATTCTGGTGGATCTCCAACCCACAAGTCAATGCTTGAAATAGAAGGACCTGTACTGCTCTGATTATTAGCACATACCAAGGAAGCATCTAGTGATGATTCAGTGTTCCTGTGTGCAGGAAGGAGTTCAAGAATATCTGTCTTCAAGTCCTCAGGCAATTCTTGAAAAACCGAGGTGTCTACTTGACTTAGAGAAGAGGGCATTAGACCGCTGTCTCCTGAGACGGGAGCATTACTAATCAAGCCCAGATTTGGTACACTAGCATCAGAAACTGGCTCACTTTTCATACCAACAAAAAGCTTATTAGGACAAGAGACCACCGCTTGGATTTCCTCTTCATTATACTGCTGCTCCTGTAATAGCCACCAGAAATCAACACTATTAAGTCGTAGAAACAAGATAACCATCATTGAAATTAAACTAGGAAATACTAAGCCAGCCCAAGAAAAGAAAAAATGGAGAAGATACCTCACATGCAGCAAAAGCTTCACCTGATGCAGCAGGGCAAGCAAAAGATATGTTTTCTTTTTCTGATACACCAAATTTAAAAGATATGAGAATTGAGGCAAAAGCTTATAACAACATGAAATATACATAAGCTAATTGTTGTAAACAAACTTCTGTAATTTTAGGGAATGTATATTCACCTTTGCTTCTCTTTTCAGTAATAAAATGAGCCAATTTTCCATCATACATGTCATTAATTTCTGAAAAGACCTCAGGAGGAAGAGACTCTATAACTCCTATATCAAGCTCATTCATAGGAGGAAGAGTTCCCCTCTGTCCAGAACCAGCAGTAACAGAGGGTGACGCTTCAGTCATTTCAATAAAAGGTGTACTTGAATCGCCCTGCAACTGAACCTGACGTTCATCAACACCGTTTTTACCATTATCTGCAGTATCAGAGAAGTAGATTGAATCCAAATAGTCCAGCATGTCATCAGTGGAGCATGATTTCAATAAATCAGCATGTCATCAGTGGAGCATGAATTCAATACATGTTTGGTGATACTTTTTAGTTAATAATTTGTTGAAAACACAGAAACATATGTTGGAATAAGTTGAAATGATGCAACATAAAACTATCATACTCAAATATTTAACAGAAGCATTAAATAATAGATTTCACATCCATCAGTGCTGCAGCGATAAAAATCCTATTAAGTTTCTCTTGTGTGGCCAGAGAAAGGAGCAAAACAATCTAAGACAACAAATTATGATGTCCTCAAGTATTTCTAGGACACGCAAATTAAAGAGATTCCTATAAAAACCTTTCATGAGCTAGAACACAGCCAATGCAACCACCATGGAATTACAGTACCAGTTTAATTAACAATACTTCAATCATACAATAATAGGCATGATCAGAGGCAATAAATATTTGGACAGAACCAAAGCAAGCAATTAGGGAAGTCAAACCTGCATCAACACCTTTTTCATGACTACTGCTTCTGTTGTGGCCGGTCTTAGTAGAGGCAGCAGTGAGCCAAGATCTGATGGAATATCTCTCTTTCCCTGGATATACGTCAATGAAAGTAATAAAAACCAGTTCATAAATGGCATACTGTCATCATCAAAACATCATAACTGGCCTAGAGATAGATATATCAAACACAAAGAAATCACAAGCATTTTTACAGGAAAGGGAAAGTAACTAGAAAGACAATTCTTGTCAGAACAAAAACCTTGCTTGGAACTATCCGCAGTTTCAAGCTTTGAGACCTGCAATCCCATGCCTCTTATGCCGTCCACATCTGCACAGCAACAGTTAAAGCGGCAGTCATATTAGAAGCAGAAAACAAGGTAACCTACAAGTCATAGCATTTGGCTTATTTCTTAAACAAAGAAATGATTAATTTTCTTTCTCTTACATGGAACAAAAAACCAATATGAACACATAGAATTCTATCTTTTCGCATTTCATATGGCATAAAAAGCTTATTTAAGAATTACAGTCTAAAACTATTTGTTTGACTCTCATAGCAAATGGATAATCACTCTGGCTCAGATGTATCAAGATGGAAAACCAAAACTAGGAAGCAACAAGGATAAACCAGACAAAAATCACAACAAAGGCCCATAACTTTGAATGCGAAGCTAATTAGTCCCGAGAACATAGCTAAAGACGCTATTTATACTGAATGACACTGAGATCAACAAAAATTTCATGAGATAATCTATTCCCATTCTGGGATTCACCCTAGAAAGATGTAACTAAACATAATTGATTTCCATTTGAAATATCGAGGCCTTTTTTTAACCATGGATACACTCACATTCATTCTCATTTCAAAGTTAATACAAACAAATTGACGTAATGATTATTCTTGCATATTTATCTCTATAATTTGATTTCTCCTTTCAATCTTGCTTTAAGAAAAGGCACTAAAAACTCATACATACATATTTAATGAAACTTATTTATTTATTTCAAGGACTTAAGTTACAGCACTGCCAAAGTAAAAACAAGTACACTATCATTTCATTTTATAATCAGGTTACTCACCATATATCAAATAAATAGTCACCGATCCACACTAGCTATAGATGTGTCACAGGTAACCTTATAATTATTGTTTGAACTGGTATGATTCACATTCATTCTCCCAAGTAAATATTATCAAATTAGAGGTATACCGTATTGGTTACTCTTGCATTCATTAACCTTAATAAAAAGTTTTGCTTTGATGTTGTTCTAAGAAAAAAGGGTATAAGCAACTCATACATAGAGTTTCATCATATACATTTATTTCAATAATTTAAGTTATACACACTAGCAATGTTATTAGTGTAGTTTTACCGGTTGTCGGGAGATTACTTAAATTTTATCAAGTTATCAATCGACACTTAATAAAGTAAATTACCTAAGAAAAGCCCAAAAAGTGTAAAAAATTTCACGTTATCAGTGCATATAACTTAAACCCTTGTTGTTTTATTTTTTTGGCGCCGAGAGTGGTGTCTAGGCCAGCTTGCGGTTCACCTCGACTACACCCGCCACACAGGCACCGAACTTTGCAAACCAAGGCTTAGGCATATGTTAAGAAATCACTGGTGTTTTTTTGTCTCCGTTAGAATTTGAACCCCAATCTTGCATGCAGTTCACTGATCACTAGGTCACAGCCATGGGTGCAAACTCAAACCTTTATTTTGAAGCGTAACATTGACTTCAGCAAAGCAGTTACCTATATGTGAAGTCATAAAGAGCTGTGAAACGACTCTCTCAAGCACATCAACACTATCCGTAGCCATTGGCACCTACAATAGCCACAATGCAATTAAAACTAGGAAGGAAATAGAAATTTCTCCAGTTAGATAACATAGATCACAAGGTTATCACAGAAATACTAATACCGTGACAGAATGGCTCAAGTTATCACAAACGCCACAGCCCAAATACTTTACTGGCTCCCCTGCATCACTCCTCCTTTTCTTTATCTGTATTGATAGATTAGGTGCAACACAGCATGAACATCCAATCATACAACACATTCAAAACCCCAGTAAGAATGCATTCTTGACTAGTTTCAGCTAAAATAGCTCTGTATGATCTAAATAAAAATAATCGGCTTCATAAGGCAAGAAAAGAGAGAGAGAGAGAGAGAGAGAGAGAGACCTTCAAGGTAAACTTGCGGCCTTTCACTCCACACCCCAGCAAACGTAATGAAACCTCCTTGCAAAGGTTTAAAAGAAAATGTTGTACCTGAATTGAGAAGGCGTTTAGTTCCTATAAGCATTAATATAAAGGGTAAACACACAATGATTGTTTGTGGAGATCTAACGTCTTTCAGATCCTTGAACCTTACGCCCCAGTTAACGTCTGCACCAATGGATTTGCTTTCCTGCAAAAGGTTCTAGAAAGGTTTAATAAATTTGGCTTGGAACCGCATGACTGATTCAAAACAAGAATGACAAACTTTATGATGCAGATATGCAAGACGCAAAGCATGTAACTAGCTTTTGCTTCCTTCGGACAGGTACTAGAACTGCTTTTAATATCTCTACAGAAATCTTATGCAAGTGTTTATGTACTACTTACTATTTTCAAACCTGAACCAGAAATTCGCTCTGTAAATGTCATACACAAACACACACACACCCCAATACTACTTGTGACTGCTTATATTGGCACCAGAATGCAAGGTAGAAGCAACAACAAGCACAGGAGGCAAAAAAAGTACTCATCAATCATTAAGCAAGTCTAGAATATTCAAAACAATAAGAAACAGCAAAATAAAGGAGTTAATGGGAATTCGCGAATCAGTTGTGACTATGACACAATCCAAAAGGAAAAGTATACAAACTAAAGGGTTATACAGTAAGATAATCTGTGTGGTCCTAACCTGTATCGTGCCAACCAACCGATCATCTATCCCTCTACTATAGTTCCATAACGTACTGCCAGTTTTATAACCAAAGTCCTTCTGGAGAGTTTCCTGGAAACACAACAAATAAGTGGGAGATTTCATATACAAACAAACACACGCACTTTTTTCTTTTTGATAAAGTAACAAGTTTCAACAAGCGCTGTAATGTGAAAACAAGTCCTGAGCAATTCCAAGAGAAGATAACCACCCAGCGATCTAAGTGCTGTAATGTGTTCGACATACTTTTTTTCTCAAAAGAACATCCTCCATATGAATAAGGGATTTCTTAAGCACTGATTAGATCATAGTTTTCACAAGAAGTAAGGCAAGATATTCTCATTTTACATTTGAAAACATATTTAACGATGAGTTTAACAAAACATCGCTAGTTGAAATAAACTCCAGGAGCTGAAAAAGCCAAATAGGCATAAATGCAGCCTTAAATAAACGATGTATCTCCTATTTCATCAGCTCTGTAGCTAATGACGATTCCAACAATTCTTGACTTTACATGGGCGGGAATGTGCGCATGAAACTGGGAGGACAAGTGGCAAAGAGGACTCTGACTCAAGGAGGCATTATGAATAACAAGCCTCACTTTTGTTTGATAGCTATCCAGTTGAGATTGCCTGTTAAACATGAAACTTATTTCAAAAAAAATGGAAAATAAAGTTTCATGGAGGGCTATGGACAGAGAAGGCACATAAACAAGTGACTTAACATGACATTGCTCTTTTGTTAAGGAATGGCATTATTTGTGCAGATGGTGCGCATCTCGACTAGTCCACCGAGTACGTGCTACCTCCATTGACAGTATCAAATAACTCTATCTACCTCCCCCTTTTCCATAGCCTAGAGGCAGATCGCAAGAATTCAACAAGTGTCATCTCAGCTCGAATTCAAACCTTGGTTCCCAAGGTTACCACTCCAGCTAGGCCACTCGCCCTTTAGTACTTTTGCAGTACCTTCTTGGTACTATCTTTAATAAAATACCATTTATCAAGAACAAATATAACAAACATAAACTGAACAAGAAGACTCCATCATCTATCTTTTGTAGCAAGAAATTTAGTGATTCATGAAGTCCTCTTATAGTTTTTCTTTAAGTGCAATAAAATAGAACGTATCTGAGAGAAACCAGATCAACAGAGATGCAAAACAGTGATTGCTCTGCACAAACTATAAGTAGACAGAAAATCTACATCATGAGAGCAGTCACCAAATTATTGTAGGAAGAAACTAAATGATGAAAACCTTGGAAATCATACGCAGCTGCCCGCAAGTTGTAATTTGTCTCCTGTTCAACTTCTCTTCCAACACATGACCAATTCCGGGAAGTGCTTTTACTGGAAGTTCACGCAAGTGCTCCTCCACCTGATATAGCCAACAAGATAACTCAGCACAGTATATCACAATGGTTATTTTACTTCTCCAAAATGATCTTCAAGTCTTTGTTTTCCTCTTTTTCCACTACATATATTAGACACTAGAATATAAGATGATATGAAGAACGGAAGTTAATCAACAACGATCTAGCCAAGAGAAATATCTGTTTGCTATATAGTATCTCGGTGACTTATCCTTTGATAAAAGAATTCAAGGATTCTTTTTTCTTTTTTTTTTGATAAGTTGATAAAAAAGTTAACTTCTTTTTTACTTACAAAAAACAAGGATTCATGTTGATTTCCATCTAAAATCCAGATTTTGTAGGTTATGCTTGAACAGGATGAAGACATAAACAAAGTGAAGCAAAAAGAGCCCAACATCTCATGTAGCAACAGGATGTCGAAGCCCTGGCAAAAAATCCACTTTTCAACAGTGGAGCCTATAAAATCTGATTGACTTGCGGCATGTCCTTTTTAGAAGTACGTGGAAATTCAAAATGCATTGGTAAGAAGAGATTAACTTCACGTAGTTAAAGAGAAGCAATGACATGTAACCAATAAATATGTAGCTACAAAATAGAGTTTGTAATATAGTAGAAAATACAGGTATAAAGATGACAGAAATCAAAGGCATAAGCCCTTCCCAATTCATACATATAAAAGACAGCTAGAACAGAAGCTACCTTCTCAGCAGGGATGTAACATTGCCCATCAGGTTTTGCAGTCCTAGTGGCAAGACGTGCCATAAGCATATTCCCACCAATACCAGCACTAGCACTACAGCCTGTCGCATCAAGAATCTCCTTTCTGATCATTGAGACAAAAGCTTGAATGTCCTCTACTCCAGAATCAGTGGCATCTAAAAATGCTTCATCACAACTTACGGCCTGCATTCAGTAGCTACTGCCAATCAAGAGATACAAACATAGCAAAGTTGTTCAAAAAAGAGTTCTGAGGCCATACCTGCACTTTGTTGCAGTACTTGTGCAAGATGTTATAAAAGCGATCAGCAACCTGCAAGCCAAATAAGATTCAATAGGACCCAAATCCAAATACAGGAAGGATTTAATTAAAAGGGGATAAAAGAACAAGAAGAAGAAAATGAATAGCAAGACCACCTCCTCATAAGCTTCAAAGTCGTAAGAAAGTATGACTAGGTGAGGGCAACGTGACTTGGCATCTCTGACAAATATTCCAGCCTTTACTCCTATGAGACAAAACTATGAATGACAATCAAGTTTCCAACACAGAATGATGTTTACTAAAAGGTAGAATTACTGGCTGAAAGACTCACCATGACTCCTAGCAGGATAATTCGCTGACGATATTTCTGCCGTTCCACGTGGATTATCTGAATGGCAAATGGCAACAGGTTTATCCTTCAACTCAGGGCGATTTCTAATGACCACAGACACAAAAAAGCAATCCTGAACAAATAAAGTTGAATTAGTTGTTTTAGTACAGAGAATAATCTACAGAGAGAAGTAAAGTAGTATATCATTCATGACGAGAGAAGTAAAGTAGTATATCATTCATGACATTCCTTCAGCTCGAGGAGGGTGAGAAGGAAGAGGAGCCAGAACATAGAAGCAGTAATAACAACATAAAGAGAACAAGTTAGGTTTTCAGATCATCGAAGCAGAAATTACCATATCCACATGAATAATGATCGTCTTATTTGTTGTGGCTGAAGAACTAGGGCCTGAACTTGAGCATCTAAATCCACCAGGAGAGCTTGGAAACCGTTTACGATACCGGTTTCTCCAGGTGCCAATGAAATGCAACCTAGAATGCTAAGCACATGAGGAATGTGTCAGCCACTTCAGCACTATCTGCTTTTAATATTTCGCTATGCAGTTATTTATCAATATATACATACATTTATACATATACTAGTTATGACACGCATAGCTGCAGCAAATAAACAAAATTCAAATTAATAGATCCACAAGAAAAAGCAGGTAATCTCATCGAATCAAAAGGCCCCAACAAATCTGGATGCCAAAGGAAAAGTAAAATGAACTTGGTAGTAGAGATCATTCATTGCAATTGTGTTTTTTGGGGATAAATACAAGATAAGCAAGAGCAAAACCAAAATCAAGCTATCAACATACGTACCTTAAAGTAATTTTCCACAAAATTAGCATCAACTAGAGTTGAATGTTTCTGATTAGGAGACCTAGGAATCTTTAAATTTGATGGCCCCTCGTTAACAGGATCACTCGTCCAGTCGCTACAAGCTGATGCACAGTTGTGAGGACTGGAAGGTGCTGATAATGGAGCATGGCTTCCATCTCCACTTGCAGCATCACTCAGTTCCTGCATTGCCACGCTACAAGTTGACTCTTCAACTCTAGCTACATTGTAGTTCTCTTGCATTAGATCTTTAGATTCTAGATCACGAGGCTTCAAATCTTCTGCAGATTGCCACTCTCCATAGGATATAGGATCTTCAATTGGTCCAGCATATGACATTGGACTCTCAACACTAGATGTGGCTTGGACAGTTGAACATGTTGCTATATCATCAGAAACGGAAATGTTTTTCGTAAAGAAAGCAGATAGCTTAGGCTGGTTATTAACTTCACTTGCAAGCTGATCAAGCTGATAAGGAACCCCTGAAGGCAACACAGGACTGATGTTACTTAGAAAGAAAATTGAAAGTACTGATGTGAGTCACATAAAGAATAAGAAAATAAAATCAGCAAAGCTTACAACAAAATGATGAAACAAAACTCATGCAGCAGCCCAAGGCTCATAAAGAACTTGACAAAGGTGCATGCACCTCGCAATAAACTTTTTGTCTTAAGGTAACAAGGTAGTCTTCTTAAGATTCAAGTACGTTAGCATTTTCATGTTTCCCTTCAATTGACTCTTGATTAGATGAAGGTAGGGCCTGAACTTGTAAACTACTGCAATGCAGATATATAATACAAGCATTTAGCTGACACGTAAAAAGAGCAGTTTCTTGTTCTCATCTTTTTATTCCCCTTTGCCAATTCAACAAATAAAAAGAGGCCTAGGAGGAAGGATAAGCATAGATTCTCTCAATAGCTTCTGTAAACAATATCCTTTCACCCACAAAAAATAGAAACAGGGAAGATCACCCATAAAAAGAGCTAACTTATAAACAAGTGGTCAACTTGCTCGTTTGCATTAAAAAGGAAGTCACGGAAGTATAAACTTACAATTCAGAAGCTTATTTGCAGCGACAGAATCCAACACCCATGTGGGTTTGACTACTGGAAGTCCCCTGCTAAATGACCTATATCAAATTCAAACAAATCTTAGAAGAAGAAGAATTACAACTTCTATTTCAGCAGAGATACAAAAATAAGAAAGTGACAACCTGATGAACTTGATTTTACAACTGACCTCAAATTCTTGACCTTACTGTCGGGAAGAATACTACAGATTATATGCGTAACACGACGCCTAGAAAAATAATTTTCAAAACGGCCTCCATGCTTCAGCATATATCCTCGAAGTTCCTGAAAAAGTTGATGAAATCAATAAACTGCAAGGGAAACAACCCTGATCTTCTATACGAAAAGTTCTAGTGAAATACGGAAACGAATACGATAAGTCTATGAAAAATTCTAGTGAAATACGGAAACGAATACGATAAGTCTATGCTCAAGGTATTGATTGCACTGAGGATGGATGTTTGTATAAGGGTTTATGTGCAGATTGAATAACTCTTCTTACACAAGTAGAAACTCTCAAAGTCACAGAAAAGTAGAATACAAGTAATCATTTGTTTCGACAATTCAAAAGTTTGAGAAGGTTTTCTACTGAAGAAACAACATTCGACGTCATGAGATTCATGATCTTTTAATTCTTAAAATTTCAAGCAATCATATTCCATTAATCCCCATCACGAAAATAATGACTAGGAAGAAACCATAAAGCATTAAACCTGACTGGAGGGAACTGTATATCCGTCAACAAAAATGGAAACGCCATGAAATATAGGTTTTGAAGAAATTGGACCACTATGAGAAGTGCTCGACGCCTCCGCATCAAACTGCTCGCTAAGCTTTTGATTCTTCACGGCCATGTAACTACAGCAAAGTTCAATGATAAGATCAGCAAATTGGCAGGGGCAACGCACCAGCAACAAGACACATAGCATGCACTATATACATTCAAATCTAAAGCGAGAAGAAGGAGTGCATTTATGAAGTAAAAATTGTAAAAAAAAATAGTGCACTTGGCCAATAATTAACGCTTGTAAAGTAACAAAAATAATATTTCTTTGTGATCAACACATTCTACTAGTGGCCGTCTTCATGATGATCACCTTATTCGAAGTCAACTAGAAGGAAAACACTCTTCCGCCCATTAAACTGTTAAAATATTCAAGACTGTGTATAAAGATCCTAAATAATTTTCACAAGATTGTGACCTAGCACAACATTAAAATTTCGCAAGATTAGTGTAAACAAAGTTGAGTAAGAAGAAGATATTTACCTTCCAAAATTGGAGAAAGGTGAACTACTGAAGGCAGGACGAGAAGCAGAGCGAGAATTGGCGCCCCAAGCCATGCCTAGGGTCTTCTGACTCGTCTTCCTCTTCTTGTTGCTTTGATTGTTGCTGTTACTCCGAGGGTTTGAAGTAACTGAATTAGAGGTTCGTTTCGAATTGGACCCGGAATTCGCAGAGCGTGAAGGTTCCATTCTCGTCTTCGATTNTTTTATTTATACGTACAGTATTTATTTATCTTTTCAAATTCAATAAAATATGCATCAATTAATTTAGGTATCCCTCATTTCACTTTTACTAAACAGATATACTAAAAATAAATTTTTATTTATACCCATAATATTTATTACTAATTTTAAATTATTTTCTCAAATTTAATAAAATATGCATCAATTAATTTGGATATCATATTAAATTATGCACTTCATTTATTATTTCTTAAAAGCGTAACAAGTCAAAACGTGCCGGGTAAAAGTAAACGGAATGAGTATATTATTTCTTGAACCCGCGGAACTAAACGCGTCTTTTATTTTTCCTTTTCCTTATTGGAGAGGGTGAGCCTTTGTGAGATTCCTTTTTTTTTTAATATTCAATTTTTACCTTGAAATATTATTTTTAAATTACTCTAAACTATATATTAAAACCAAAATTATCTTATAAAGTTGAGATGTTACAATATCCTTAGAAAAATAGATAAATTATTACTTCAAAAGTAATTCTATAATTTGGCCCATTATTTTAAAATATAATATTTCCCATTGAAAATTTTTACTCGAAGGGATAATAGCACTTTTGGCTTCTCAATTATTAGTAAATTCTTATTTTGGTCATTCTAATATATGGCTAAGCACATTTTAACCTTCAATCAATTGGCATGTGTACTTTTGATTTCTCTGCATGTGAATCTTGAAAACTTTATTGAATTATTAGGCATTAGATCATTTAATTACCATATATGTTATGTTAAATTTGTATTATTACTTCATATTGAAAACTAAATTTCATTTTAAAAATAAAAAATGGCAGTCAAGTATATAATTTATTAATGTTGAATAATGAAAAGGATGAGTAGAATAAAAATTAAAATAAAATAATTTGCTCTTATCAATGATTTTAGTATTAGTAATCAAATTTTATAAATCTATTTACACAATCGTGAATAAAAAATAATGAAATCCTTAGAGACATATACTCAATACAGGTAACATAAATTTATAATTATTAAAAGTAAACACAAATTTTATAATAAACTCCTAAACGATTATCTATTTACCACTAAGAAAATGTAACTAAACATATACTTAACGTGCGCTATATTAAAATAAAATCATGAAAGTGTATAAACTTTGTGATAAATTTATAAAAGGACTATTCTATTTATAATTTTAACAAATTTAAATTACAATTTATGATAAAGTATAATATAATTTAAATTATAGGTAAAATCGTAAAAATAGCATATAAAATAAAAAAAGTATTACATATAAGAGGGAATTAAAAATGACAAGGACGAAATAGATACTGTGAAGGATAAAGGGGATAAAGGGGGAGAACGATAATTGTTTAAATTAACGGGAGGGATGAGCACACGTAACTTCCACAATAAAGACTTTATTGTGGAGTCCATTTTACCCTAAAATATATCTATCTATATCTATATCTATTTATATCTATTTATCTATATTATTATAAATCTATATCTATATTATTATAAAAGCACGAATAATTTATGCTAAATGTTAAACGACTAAAATATTAATTGACTTTTATGCACTTAAATATTTGTATAATTTAAGGATCTAATTGTAAATTACCTAATGATGGAATTCTTTTTCGACTTAAACTACATATACACCAACCCTACAAAGTTGATTCTACTTGGATTAAAAAGGCATGTCCATAATTTTCTTTTAAAAAGAATTATTATTCCTAATTACAAAAAAAATATAATTGTGGGAGAATAGGAGATTTACGTAGCATATTGTAAAGTCAATACAAGATTCTTCCTCCCGATGTGTTGTATTTGAAAAAGGAAGAGTGTATATGCTTAATTTTTCCTTCAGTACGGCAATTCCGGAACGTGAGAATTTTGAGTTCTATTTGGAGAAGGGAAAAAATTTAATTAATTTAGGGATCTTAAATTTTTACAAATATAAAAGAAAAATTTAGTATTAAGCTCTAAAAACATTTATAACATTTTAAGTTAAGTAAAAAAATCTTACAACCCTTTAAAATCTTAATTTATAATAGTTCATATAAAGTTAAAAACTAAATTAAGATAGATATCTTTTATAACATACTTTATGTTCCTAAATATTATGAGTTACTACATAATTCAAATAATTGAATTAATTTTAATATATTAATTAATAAAAAATTAAAAAATAATAATTTTTAAAATATAAAATCTAATCTTAAAGGAAAAAAATACAGGGGCAAGTTTCTATAAATATCTTTCTTTTACATGACAATAAAGTGGCTCTAATAATGCATATGAGACTAATTAAGTAAATTTATCATCTTTGTAAGTTAAGACGATATCATTTTGAATTCAAGTATTCTGTTTATGTAATACCATTAATTTCTAGATTCAAAATGATTGTCATATTTTTGTCACGTCAATTACTCTACAATGATCATTTCATCTTGTAAATAATTTGTTGATAAATTTAGTTAGTTGTTCTTTCACATAAGAGTCTGACTAAAGATTTACGTGCAACGCACGTGCATAATGATTAGTTTATATTATTATAAAAGCACAAATATTTCACGCTAAATGTTGAACGACTAAAATATCCTTAAAATGTTAATCGGCTTTTATACCCTTAAATATTTTGTCAAAAAGATAGTTCCATATTGGATAAAATAGTAATCTAATAATAATTTGCCTAATATTTAGGAATCTGATACCAACTAATGATAGAATTCTATCATTAAACTAAAATATTGCTATATTTGACAACCCCTAATTACATTGTCCAAATCCTAAACTAATACCAATGTTATTTTTGTAAATTTAGGATCCAAAAGGTAATATGTTTACATGGCTACGTGTTCCTAATAAAGGTAATTGGTATTCCTAAAGGTAATTCGTTTACATAGCTAACATGTAGTATACATGTATGTCCTAATACTAATAGGATTATAAGACTAATGTCTAAAATTTTAATTATATCCTTTCATTATGAGTTATTATGCTTAGTATTGTAAGGATATTTTTGTAAACTAACATTGTATTCATACTTTATTGCTATATATTTGACAACTCCTAATTATATTGTCCAAATCCTAAACTAATACCAATGAATTTTTGTAAATTTAGGATCCAAAAGGTAATATGTTTACATGGCTACGTGTTCCTAATAAAGGTAATTGGTATTCCTAAAGGTAATTGGTTTACATAGCTAACATGTAGTATACATGTATGTCCTAATACTAATAGGATTGTAAGACTAATATCTAAAATTTTCATTATATTCTTTCATTATGAGTTATTATGCTTAATATTGTAAGGATATTTTTTGTAAACTAACATGGTATTCATACTTTTATAATAATATAGATAGATAGATATAGATATAGATAGATAGATAGATAGATAGATAGATAGATAGATAGATAGATAGATAGATAGATAGATAGATAGATAGATAGATGATAACAATCAAAGGAACTTCTATTGCCATACATGTTAATTCTTTTTTTCAAGAAAAATGTGTCCATACCATGCTACTGAGAAACTTAGACCTGTCAGATGGCTTATGTAACAGTTCAAATACGGTATGTAGAGGTTTTGACAATAACGTCATATATGCATAAATCAGTATGGGTTAAACTGCTTCCAAGTATGTGTTTATCCCTGAATTCATCTTTCGCCTTCAGAAAATGTAGAATATCCTTTTAAATTCGTCCAATAGTAATTTTCAGTACACTTGTATTTTGCAATGATAATAAATAAAGATCAAACTCAAACAATTTTAAATGTTGGATTGTATTTGTTGCAACATGCTTTATCACACGAACAAATACGCATTATACTTTTAAAAAGGATATAACCAGAGTTCTCATCACGAAGGAGCAACCAAAGAGTCAAAAGGAAACATACACGAAACAATATCGTTTATCCAAAAAGTCTTAGGTAAGATATTGTAATGATCCGGCCAGTTATTTTAAGCATTTACGCTCCTTTAAACTATTGAAGGTCAATCGGACTTGATTCGATAGGTTTCGTCATCGAATGTAGAAGTTGGAAATTTCATAAGACTAAAGTTTCAAGTGAGTTCGCACAAGACCTAACTTCAAATGAGCATATCTTTCTTGATTTTAAGCGTTATAATATGTGTTACCTATTAAAATAAAGGTCTATGTGTCTAGTTTCCAACGCTTTAAACCGTTCGTCATTTGGATATTTCTACAAGAAGTTATGACCAAATTACCAAAGGCTGGAAAAATATGATTCTGTAGTCAGATGTGCGATCGCATAATGACACATTGTGCGACCGCAAAATGGTCGTCGATATGCCCAGCGCAGCCCAGTTTTCGGCAGCGATTTTGCGATCCATTGTGAGACTCGCATACCTGTCACGACCCAAAATCCATTAAGGCCGTAATGGCACCGGACACCACTGTCAGGCAAGCCAACAATAATCAATTAACTTAATTACCCATTTTAGTATTTTTGAAATCAAAATTTCTTCAATGAAATAATAAAAATAGAACTCATAGAGTAAATGATAAATATTTTTAGTAACTAAATTTCTAAACAATTCACAACCATTCCCAAAACCCGGTGTCACAAGTGCATAAGCATTTACTAGGGAATTAAAATTTAAAATACAGCATCTGTCCAGAATATAAATTAGACAGAAAAATATAATATCTCTAAAGGAGACTCTGTTGGTTGCGGATCGTAATACAGAATGCACCTCACCTATGTCCCCACTATTATTAACCACACCTTTGCGCCCACAAGGCCGCTAGACATANGGTTGCGGATCGTAATACAGAATGCAGCTCACCTATATCCCCACAATTATTAACCACACCTCTACGCCCACAAGACCACTAGACATATATGTACCTGCACAATAAAATATGCAGCAAGTGCAGTATGAGTATGAAAACAACGTGTACCCAGTAAGTATCAAGCCTAATCTCGAAGAGGTAGAGACGAGATGACCGACTTTGACACTCACTATGGGT